TTATATATCAGCTGAATTTTATATAATAAAAAGCGATTTTTACATACTAAGTAAAAGAAAAAGCAGTTTGTACAACAAGTTAGTGAATTTAATCTAATAAAAGTTAAAAAAATTGAATTTGTTTAAAAAAGCTAAAAAAAATGAATTTATCTAACAAAAAGCAGGTTTATATAAATATTGCAAATTTTACATATTATATCCAATAATCGCAGATTTTATTTTATATCTCAGATTTTACATAAAATAATTGATCGATACAAATTTTACTAGCTGGTGACTCAGGTTTTATCCTGTTGTATTATAATTACTATATATAGAGTTAGGTTATTAGTTCAATTATACATAATATTGAACCAATAATAGTACAGGATTAAGTGTAATATGAAAATGAAACAAAACAGCTAGCTTTTTTAAAAATTATTTATAATGGCTTGCCAACTATTTGCATCTTAGCAAAAAAATTTCTTGCAAAATTTTGTTATATATAAAGCTCTTGTTAACATCATCCAAACACTTACTTTTACCCTAATATCAAAGTTATATTAAAAGCTAACTTTTTAATTAAAAAATGCAATGATATATTTTGGCTAATAGAACTTTAGCACATATCATCATGTATACCAGAATATAGAATAGATTTTTTGATCACATAATATCTGGCCTAAAACCCATATTAGAAATTCTTGATCATAACTATAATACAAATATATAATGTAATCAATCAATATTCAAATTATACCCATTTAAATAAAACTACAATCTAGCTTCATATTTCAAATACATGCATAAAATCACACAGGTTATATTATAAAGTATATAAAATTTGACTTTTTTTTTATTAACAAATATAGCAAATATATAATAATTCATAATTGAATTTTTGCTATAGAAAAATTTGATAAGAAAATAAAGAAATTAAGTGAAATCAAATATTTCACCAACTTCAATTAGAATCAATCCTTACTAGTGTATATGAGGTGGAGTCAATAGAAAAGAGCCAAATTTTTTCTAAGTAAAAGTTTTCTTGACTTTAAGCTTAAATATCTTAGCAATTATTTTATCAAATTTAATAATTATTTTTTTATTTTAGTTCTTTGTAATTTTGAAATTAAAATAAAAAAATTTTGAGCAAATTTGGTTAATTAGTTGTTGAATTATTTTAATTTAAAAATTAAAAAATTTTACTAAAAATAATTTGTTCCTTTTCTATTGACTTCACCCTATATTATACAGTAAATTTGACTTGCTATTTAAACTGAAAATAAATTGAATATTAAACTTACAGTTTAGATTAAATTTAGTGCAAAATAAAAATTATTGTAGAACTTATATGATTGTAAATAACATCTATAAACTTAATTATCCATGTATATTAAAATTTTGAAACTTTACTATGTTTTTTATTGGGAACTCAAAATAACAAATTTTGTTTCTAATTTGGCCAAGTAATAAAGTCAAAAAGCAGAAAGGTAGGCTATAATCAAGAAAAAGCAATTCTCAAATAATTTAAAAGCAATTAATATAAATACATTAAAGAATTGAAATATTAAAAAATTATAAGCTAAATCTCAATATAATACTTGCTAAACACAATTATCTTCTCATATTTAATAGAAAAAGATATTGGGTAGTATTTAAAATCTGCTAAAGCAAATGAATATTAAACTATTAGCAAAAATAGGGTTGGTAAAGTGTCATATGCAAAACAGATTAATAGCCCGAATCTTCACTATAAAGCCAAACAATAATAAAAATTAGTTATATATGCAATGTAAATGCTAATTTTGTCTATAATAGTTTTATATTATATTTTAATCCCAATTGAATAAAAATGTATCATTGATAACATGAACTGATATTTTGAAGTGACTGAAGGTACTAACCTAAAAAAGTAAGTAATTCAAGCCATAACTAAAAATACAAAAGTAATTAAAGCCATAATTGAGAATGTAATAAAGCTAAAGTTAGTGAGTCTAAAAAAGGCTGTGCTAATTAAATATGACAAACATGAATTGTAAATTTCTAACAATGCGGTCTGCTAATCTAAAAAAAAAAAATTGATTAAAGCTATAATTGAAAATGAAAAAGTAATTAAAAAAGCCACAATTGAGAATAAATAAAACTAAAATTAGTTAATTTTTGTCAAGGCTGTGTTAATTAATATACCTTCAAACACGTTAATAATTATATTATTAGAAATAATTAACTTTATATTCTTTATACACTAATATAAAAAGTAATTAATAATGCAAAAAATAAAAATAAAAATAAAAAATAAAAATAAATAAATAAAACCATAAAAGCCAAAATGAAATAGGTTAAAAGTTTTAATAAGACTATGAATGGCTTTAATATTAATATGTTTAGAGATATTAACTTAATCAAAATTAAAAAAGTAATTAAAGCCACAATCGAGAATTGAAATAATATTAAATTAACTTGGTCAATAGAGGCTATATTAATGCATGTAAATGTTAGAAATAATGCTTTAGTTTTACAAATAAAAAAAATTAAAAGAATTGTAGTAAAGAGAAAATACTCTCATTATACTACTCTAAGCCCAAAAATTAGTGAATTAGTTATAGATCGAATAAAGTATATTGATAGCTTTTTGTTTGATTGTATCTAAAAGATATAAAAGAAATGAATAAATATTACAAATAATTTACCTTCAGGTTAAAAATATAGAATTCTCTTCTTTGCGATTAATCCTCAAAGAAATAATAATAAATCTTAAATTTTTTGTTTGTTTTAACAATAATAAATATGAATGATGAAAAAAAGGGTACTTTGTGCTTTCACCAGCTACTGCCGGAAGCCTTTATATACAAAAATAAATATTACAATACCTTTTCAGCTTGTTTAACCACAAAGTCCAATAAAAGAGCAAAAAAAAAAGCTTTACCTATTAATAACCAATTAGAAAGTACAAATAATCAAATAGAAAGCCAATTAGAAGGCACCAATTAGAAAATGAAATACTGATATTATCGAATATGTCTCTAATAAAATTTTCAGTATTGAAAATAAAAATTTTTTCTTCAACTTATGCATCAAAATTGATGATAATATATTGGCTAAAGTTAATCATAATATGAGACTTTTAGTAAGATTAATAATGAATAAGATCGAAGAAGGAGACAGATACAATTGGATATAAATATCCTTAGATTAAACTATTAAAATTTAAATAAAAAATTAGTTATAATTAATTCTTTTTAAATAAAATCTTAAATATAATATCTTTCTAACTAGATTTACAACTGGGTCTAATATATTGGTACATTATCCAGATGTTAATGCATTTTACCTTTCATGTTCTCAATTCTATGAACTAGAGTGTGAGTTTAAAGAATCGAATCGTAAAAGAATAATCATATTTAACTGTCATAGCAAGTTGATCATTAAAGCTGATATAGCTGTAAGAGAAGTAATTATAAAGCTTAAATATGATATTCAGTATGAAAGGCTTGTAGATATTACAACTTCAGAAGAGATAAAGTGTGAAATTATGCTAAACCTATATATAGATCCTGTACAAGTATAAATGCACCTTTGTCAAAAATTTGACGCTACAAAAATTACTCCAAAGCAAATTAATTACTAGTGGTCTTTTTTTAATCAATGTTTTTTTAAATTCGATAAAGATCCAGTTATTTTAGCATGTTATTTTTTAAAAAAATTTTTGCAACTATAGTAAGCTTTGTTATAAGTGGAGAGATAATTTGGTTTCTGCAATTGGATTAATAACTTCTTTACTAAATAAATTGTTACTAATATCATGTATTCACTGTGATACAATCTACAAAACTACTAAGAGAAAATTTGAACTTTACAGAATTATTAGCAACACTAATAGCGTTAGGTTTTCAATAGCCTACTTATTTCTAAATACTATAAATACATTAAACAGTGATCAAGTAGAACTATTCACCAAAGCACTTACTAGTTTTTTTGTTCTCTTAATAGGAAAGGATTGCAGCTACAGTATTTTTTTACTAATAAGGATTTTGCTAAGATTAATGCTGCAAGAGAAGTGTGGCCTGGTATTAGTGTATAGCTTTGTCTATAGCAAGTAAAAAAAGTCATAAAAGAAAAACTCAAAAGTTGTAATAAAATTAAATATACCCAGTACCAACCCAATGAAGCAATTGTGAATTTGATTTTTTTATTAACCTTTTATTTAAACCCGATTTAAATCATCATAAGTCTAACTATTATATTGTATGTCCACCCAAATTGCATAATGAAGCTATTAATATTATTGAAAAACACTTTAACATTCATTCAAAAATCTCTATAAATGCTACTAGTTAATTTTTAAGACCAAAAAAAATCTATATTAGCAGTCGGCCGACATGTCACACACAAAATTGATCTACTATAAATTTCTAATTTTATTAATAATAATTAACAACCGTTTTTGTATAAAAATTGGGTCTTTTCGTTAGTAAATATATACTTTTTTTTAAAGAAAATTGTTCTATGCCTTTCTATATTATAAAATTATAGTTTATTCGTTTTTTTAAAGCAACAATTTGTCAAATAATTAGCATTTCAAAACTAGTAACAGATTTCACTTCTTTTTCAAGATTATTTTCGAATAAGCGGATTAAGCAAATAAAAACTAGCTGAAAAAGTTAAGACGGTCAAGAACTTTAAATAGATATATATTTTATTAGAGTTACTTTACAAATTTGAAAAAAAGTTACTTATAAAGAGAATCATATATAAAGGGTAAGATTTACAAGTATAACTGAGCTTTATTCTTTCTTAATTTATCCGCTACTATAATTTAATTCTCATTATTATAAATTAGTTGTGTCTATTAGCTATTAAAATATAGTTTTTTTTAAATAATATATTATATTATAAGATTTTATAAGCGTTTCTTCAAGATCAATAAAATCAGGTTAAAATTTTGAAAATTGCGATAGAAGCTATGCTTGCAACAAACTGCTACTACAAGGGCTCTTTGCCGGGTGTTATTTATTAGTTGCCTATGATGATATATCTTCCATGCTTTGCTTTTTTTTACTTGAAGCAGCTTTTTTTCCAAGAAGCAAAGGTACCAAATCCTTTTTTGTTCGGCCTTTTGCAATACGTTTTTCCACTTTCAAAATGTCTTGTTTAATAATGTCTGAAATTCTAAGTATTATAACAGGTAAACATATACTCATATCCTTTAGGTGTTAGTTGATTAGAAATCTCAAAGAGTGGATGTTTTTCAGGTTCATTACATTCAATAGCTTCAGAGAGTATATTTACTAGCTTCTGTAATGCTTTTTTGTGATCAATTTCTGCATTTGTGGTTTTACTTATACAATTATCAGTTACAAATTCTGCATGTAAAGCTAATAACCAATCTCTTTCATTTTGAGCTGCTCTAATTACCATTTTTAAATTATCTAGATCTGTTGGATACCTAGTCATGTTTTGTTTAACAAATTTCACACTAAAACACTCTAGTGCCTCATCATATGCAAAAAAATATTCATCTGCCATGAGATTTACAGACTCAACTACCTGAAGTTTTGCTTTCATAGTTGGGTTTGTTTCTACTATCATTAAAAATGTGGTACTGATACTGTGTATCTGCTTTTTCCAGTGATGGGAAATAATGGTGCAAAAGCTTTTAGGTATTCATGTTGAACTTCAAAATTACCCATCTGAATGCCAATTTTATGAAGCTTAAGCCAACTTGTCCATTTATAATATAAGGTCCAGACTTTCAAAATATTATTATTTTCATTTTCAATATCTGCTAATGTTATATAATGTTTATCCATATACATATGAATAGCAATGGCTACAGCTGCCCAGATAAGCTCAAGAACACAGAATGTTGCTCTATAATCTACAACATCTTGAAGCTTTTCTAGGTACTTCATCCCAAGTATAGATGCTAATCCAAATAACCCATATCTAGAGAAGGCAACAATTAGAGCACTGCACATGTCTTTGCTCGTATGCCACTGACCAAGAATGAGATTTAATTTTAGTTGATTATTGGAAAAATCTGTAAGTCTTCGAAAAATAGCTTCATCACAAGCAATGTTCAAAGATTTTCCTTGATTTAATTCTAAATCCTCTATATACATTTCACAGGCTTTATGCGCTGCAAGATTTGTGCTTGGTGCTGGACCAGCTTCTAAAATGACAACATTTGGTGAAAGAACTTTACATCCCTTTCCTACTGCTTCTTTGAGTGCAGAATTTATTTCACTTATACCAAATTCTATTAGATATTCAATTATTAACTGGTTGAAGATTTGAGTAAGTTTTCCTATCCACTATTCCATAAATTGGTTGCTTCTACACAGATTATTAGCAGAAACATTAGAATTTGAAAGTTGTATTTCAATATAAGGCATTTCAAATTGAAAAACCATACGTAAGGTAGTATGAGCGGTATTTCGTGTATCATTATAAATGTTACCAGCTCTGAATGTCTTTTCTTTGAAATCTATATTGTCTATTACTGCCAAGTTCCAAATATTCAGTCCTAATTTTAGTCTTTTTCGTGCATCTGTTTCTAGCATATGATTTCTTCAGACTTTCACCTCATAATCTTTGGAGTATGCTACTACATTTGCAGCACAAAGAATAGCACACAAATATGATGCAAGCTTGGGCCATTCACAAAAAGATCCAACTATTTGTGGAAGCCAGAATTTCTAGCTTCTGAACGCATGTGCTAGAATAACAGAGGAAAGAAAAGATGTACTTTTCACTATTTCACTCTTGTTTAGCTCAGTTACTGTTTTTTTGTGTTCTTCTTGTTTTCGTTTTACTATCTTATGATTTTTAAGTTGCAAAGTAAGAACCAGACCATCAAAGAAGCTTGTTAAACATTTTGGCATTGCTTCATAATATTGTTGTAAAGACTTAGGACTTTCTAATGTCTTCTTACGGGAGGATAAACTAGCGCGTGACATTAAAATTTCAAGTACAAATGATTTTCCAAATTCTTCACATTTTTTAGGTTTCAATATAAATTGTTTTAACTGTTTAGAAAAATCTAACTTTTTGACCTTGAAAGCTGTATTAATCGGATTTTCTTATGTCAAGAAAATGATCTACATCTGATGTAACACACAATTTTGATAATATTATATATATATATTGTTATTTTTAGTATAAAAAACTCTTCCTATAAGTAAA